CGAACAACGGTAACGTCTAAATTAAATTTACGAACGTGTAAATGATAAAAATAAAATTTCACACATATTTCTTTTTTCTTTACAAAATTAAATTCAAAACAATTTTGTTTTCCCACGAATAGATCGATAATCTTTTTTTTGCAAGAACCGGTCAATTGCACCATTATTTCCCGCCAAAAAACTTAGAAATAATTGCGTTTATCAATTAAAATGGATCACCCTATATACACGGATAAAAACTTGTTCAAGCCGTTCTACTTTATTGCTACAATGTACCTCAATGCCTAGTCAGTCTTGCAAAGTGAAATATATAAGGCGCAGAAATACTTCGAATTTAATGTTATTTAGAATCGTGCACAACACGTCGTATCTAAAAAATTACTTGAAAAATTATTCGTCGAATTCTTCGAACGATAAACAGGGATTAACAAAATTTGGAAAGAAGAGAGTTCATTTACTTTTCGATATATTCTCTCCGAACTCTATTCTCTCTATTCTCTTGCACACCAGAAAGGTCACGTGAAAGTCTTCCAACGAATTTCCTTATGTCCATATCGCTATAAATCACTTTCTTCCACATTCATTGCAAGAAATCGCGTTTGTCATCTTTCTTGGAAACAATTACAAACCGAACAATATATCGAATAGGAAACTTGTTCTAACCTCAAAGAAGAAAGTAATTTCGACATTGCGTAACACAAGAACGAGATGGAAAGTATATAGGTTTTTCCTTTCTACCTTTTTTCATTAGTCGGTTTTACGATGTAGAAATATCGATGTTGTTGTTCGGTCATGATCGCGGCCACGCGGCCGTAAAAATTTCGTTTAACGGGCGAGATACGTTCTACAGATAACGAAAATCGTAACGTTGAAATTAAAAGTTCTGGCGGGCGAAAGAAACTCGGGTAGCGAATAATTGCTGTAACCACCCCTCTCCGGTGTAAGGTGAAAGCGAATACTGTAACACGCTTCGAGATCACGTGCGCTTATTCTAATCGTAGGGTAAAAATGGGTAAAAATCATATCTTGGACGGTATTATTTTTGCACAAGGAAAACGTAATAATTTCGAATATTTCAGAGAATGGAGAAAGTCGAATTTAGAAAATGAATAAATATATAATAATTGATAGTTGAGTCTAAGTGGCGCTAATGTCACCGGTAGTTGTAATATTAATTGGATCTTATGCAATGAGAAAATAACAGTTTTCCTTTAAAAATATTATTTGATTTGACGGAAAGTTAGATTTTTCAAAGGATAAAGGTAAAATCAATAAATTTTCTGGCTGATTACGCATCATCGCATTATCATCCCCAATTTAACGTCACTCGTGCATATCGCAGTATTTATCTTCGAAAAAAAAAGGGGTAATATTCGATTCAATTCACAAATCCGTTTCTATCTCCTGCACACACAATTGGTAAAAAGTTTTAGTAAATGGCTTAGATATTTTATTGAAAATTAAAGAAAAACATTTTAATTTTTTAACATTACTTAAAATTGCAAAAAATTTTTTTCTAATGAATCTGTTAGAATTAATTGAAATTCCATGTAATTGAGAATAGCTGCAAGTTTTCAACTCGTGTAATTATTTGCAATTATAACAAGTTTCTTATCAGAATTTTTCTTGTAATCGATAAGAATTAATTAAAAAAAGTAGTAAATGATTCTTGGTGAAATTGAACTCGCGTAAATAACGCGACAGCCAGTAATTCTAGGTATGCATTTCATCGATCTGGCTTTCTAACGTCCTGGAAACGAAACACCTTAGCGACAAGAGATCTTTGCTGCTGGATAGATTTCCGGAAGCACCGCTTTAAAAAAATTCTTTCAAATTTGTCCAGAAAATGGTAGCAAACATTTCATTCAAATATTTACACTTCCTTATCTTCTCATCGATCATTTGTCAAGCGATAAATATTATAAATAAATTTCTAATTTTTTTCTATAATGGCTAAAAAATTAATCCTCAATTTAATCATGATAGATATACAATCTGTTTGAAGATTGTGATCAGTGATATTATTGATGCTAATTAATTATTCAAAAAATTTGTAAATCGATATAAATCGAAATAAATTAGTAAAAAGTAGAAAGCCTGTCTCGTAGAAATGGCACTTACAGTAATCGAGGAAAACAAATAACACCAGCGAAAGCGAAATCGAAATCGAAATCGAAATCGAAATCGAAATCGAAATTGAAATCTCTTGGACCCGTTTGTAATCGACAGCTCGGTGAAAGAGAAAGAAATGGAGTTACGTGGAATGGGGGAGGGGGGAACAGAGAGAAATAGAGACACGGAGAAAAATATATGGATTCTTCATGTAAATTCAAGATCTTTAAAAAATTATAATCAACTTTAAAAATTCATACTCTCTCTCTCTCTCTCTCTCTCTCTAATTCCACAACAAATCAAACAACTGGAAAAAAACAGATATGAAGAATTATCCGAGATAATTATAACATATGCTAATAGATAAAAAAAAGAGTTAAGATCAACGAAATAACACAAGAAAAGAGAGTTATGTCAATAATTAAAAAGCTTAGATACGTTCGTAGTTCAAAATGTACGAACAAATAAAGCACAAATTGTACGAACGAGACGAAAGGAAAAACGTAAAAAGGATCAAGATAAAAAAAGAGAGAGAGAAAGAGAGAGAGAGACACGTAAAAAGAATGGCTTTTACGTACGAGAAGATAGATAATGGTAATTAGTAATGTATATGAGATAAACAGAAAAGAAGCGTGATACACGCATATGTATGAAGTAACCGTGCCCACCAGCTCCCTTCGAGCCAACTTTCACTCGCCATTTCGCCGTCTCTGACACATATTCGATATCCAGAGATGGTCGTGGTGAGAGACCATCGGAGCGAGAGAGGTGGGGAGGGGGAGGGCACGCGTGATTTTACCTCAACCGATATTGTCACCGGGATCGCGTGTTGAACGTCTGTCCATTGATGAATCTGGAGATTCGCTTTCGCAACTGGATAAAAAACACGATGGCACGCGAGATAGGAAAGGGAGGGAGGGAGGGTCAGATAGAGAGGGGAAAAAGGTTACCTCCAAGTTCTGGCAATGAAATTTCGGCCAAAACTATCGCTCGTCAGTCGTTTACGGATACCGCGACAGTAGTCTTGGCTCCCCAAGTGTTCTCGCTTCGATCGTGTCTAATTGGTACTTATATGCAGTGAAAAATCATCATTATTTTATTTGTCTTGTATCGTGGAAATATTTTTCTTTTTCTTTTTCTTTCTTTCTTTTTTTTTTTTTTTTTTTTTTTTTT